CCCCCCCCCCCCCCCCCCCCCCCCAACCACCACCACTACACTCTGCTGGCTCCAGTCTGGGGCCAGGCATGGGGGACTTGGTTCCCCTTCCCCCACCCCCCAGCTTCTCAGGCAGGAGGCAAAGGTTTTTCTGTCTCCCGTCTGTGACGGCTCTGCGACAGGGCAGGGCGGGACTGACCTGGAGCTCACGCAGAGCAAATAAGCACCAGCCAAGGCTAGCACATTGCCCTGTGGGGTGCTTGGGATGCCAGAGGGCAGCAAACTAAGACAATTTTGTACAGGACCTCGGACAGAAGTTTGATATACTGCTCTAACCTAGACCGACTAAGTCTAATACTACATCCATCCAGGTCTATCTTAGACTAGGTTCTGCCATTATGAAACTAGTCTGCGTGTACTGAATTACTGTTTTACTACAGGTTTAGACTGGTTTCTGATCACTTATACTGGTTTGCATGCAACGTCTGTACCTAGCCAAAGATCCCATATGAATGTAATTAACTTACCCAGAGGCTCTGATATCTGGGGTGGAGCATTCTCTCTGTCATCTTCATCTTCACATACACAGACATAACCACACTGCACCTCTTGAAGCAACAAAGAACTACGAGGAATGCCCTCTTTTCATGGAGCCTAGCAGTGAGAATGAGGTACTAGACCAAAAAGTCCAGCCCTGTTCCTAATGAAGACAGCATCAAAACTACCCATTGACTTCAGCTACAATATGATCAGACCTCAAAATTGTTGCAGTGGATTGCTGCTCAAACAAAAAACATTGGGAGGGGAAGGAGAATCTGGTAACAAAAGTCGCTGGTGTTGCAGTTTTCGTTCTACTGGGAGGTATGAGCTGGGGTGGCAACAGAGCACTCATCTGGAATACAAGAAGACTGAAATATTTCTAAACTAGGTGCTCAACCTCTGGCCCAGGGAGCTGTCATCTGACCTGAGGCGGCTCCCTGTGAGTGTGGAAATTTGGCAGCAGAGGAGAAGTAGCATTGTTTGTTGCTCCCAGAGCTACAACAATTAATACTGCCACTGCTTTCCCACCACCAAACTGACAGACCTGTGGGGAACCCCACAGTCTGGATTACATGGCTCTGCACTCCATATTGGACCCATGACCCCACTCACCAGGACAGCAGGTGGGGTCACGCCAGATCACATCCTAGAATCCACTCTACCCACTGCCACTGCACAGGATCTGGCTCATGGGCTGGCTCTGCCACACTTATCTAGCCCCACCAGGCTGGATGGGTTGAGCACCACTGTTCTAAAACACGGACGTTTGGTTGAGCTCAGATATTTGATCTAATAAGTCTTATATTTTTGGCCTTTCAAATCTTTTTTCCCTTTTAAGCCTCATGTAGTTTTGCACTATCCAGGATGCAAAAGTAGTAGCAACCAGTTTATACTTTGTATGACAATACCACTGAGCATGCTGGAAGCTTAAGGCTTAAAGTAAAGGGATGATTGCCAAAGAAATTATCACCAAAGAAATGGGATGGCAGGTAGCCTGTACGATCAGAAATAGAGGGGGGGAAGTCATCCATCAGACAATGCAGATGGGGTATTACAGAATATAGTATGTGAAGCTGAGACTCTTTTAATACTTATTAAAGCAAGAATGGGAGCTGCAGTATCCTGAGGTACAAAGGATAGTGACCTTTCATTCAGTAACAACCAGTTCTCTTATCTGCTGAATAGAGCCTTTTATGTGTCCCAAACCAATATTTATTTTATGTTCAAGAGAACCAAATTTGATCTTTTTTTTTTACCTGTATAGTATGTATGCTAACTCCATGTAATTTTTTTGTGTTTAAAAACACCCCATACTTTAACATTTTTTCTACAAAAACAAAATCCATTCCAGCCACCCAGCCCTCATCCTTATGAGCTACCTTCCAATAACAAACCAGAGTGTGCGTGTGAAGGAGGAAAAAAAGTTTCGGTAAGAAAACGGATCTCAATTTTAAGCTTCCATTTGTTTAAAACAAAAGAAACACACACACAAGCAGTGGGTGCATCTACAGGAGAAGTTTACTGTGGAGCTGACTACTTAGCTCTTCAGTAATATGGCACTGTCTACCTGTGTGGTGCTAGCCAGAGCAAACTAATTAACTCTGCCATAGGATGGTACTGCCAGACTCAAGTACTATCCTATGGAAGAGTAATGTACGCCGCCACAGTGCATGTGTAGACGGTGACGGGGCTGGCTAGGACATGAATGTGCTTCACTGTGGGGGCTGCCTCCCAGCTAGCTTTTAGTAGCCAGAGGGAAATTGGGTTATGTGCCCAAGTTTGAACATTTGTTTTGTAATGGGTATCTACATTAGAAATTCACCCATTTTCAATGCTCAAAGCATTGCCTGATGTTGTTTTTTAGCATGGATAAATGTATTTAGTGTGACCTCTTTTAAACTGATAAACAGTTTGTTGATCTGAAAAGTGATTCATTTTCTGAAGGTATGTGGTATACCATAAACTGCATGAGTATTTTTGTGTTATGGTGAAGAAGAGATATGTTGCCACGTTAAAGTAAGCCTTTCCATTGTACTGTAAATAATGTGGAGTGGTTCCTGTTTGAACATGGTCATGGCGTTCAGCTACCCTATCATATGAAAAAGTGCATTAATGTTTCTTACTAACTTGTTGGCTTAAAGTTTTATAACCTAAGAATTCCAGTTTACTAAGAGAGTATAAAGGCTGCTAAATAAGTGATAATCACAGGGGCTTTTTTTTGTTTTTTTTGGATTGCTTTTGGTGGCTAGCAATAAGAGAATTTGATCCTAGATCAACTTGAACCTCTTTCATCCTCTGACATTAAGTAGAAAAAAATCACTCGTTTGTTTGTTGCACCATTTTGGCACCTTTTCTGCAGTGAATATAATTTTTCTTCTTGTAAGAAAGCAATTTCTGTTTCTGCAGAAAAACAATGGTGCCTGCTGGCATGCCCTGTAACTCCGAGGAGAGACTAAAATAGCAAAGGTGGACTAAGCAAGGAGGGTATTTTCATCCCTTGTGTCACCCAAGCTGAAGCACAGTGTCTTAACTCTTGTGCTTCAGTGTCCCTTTCTACCCCTACAGGTGCATTCTTTTTAACAAAAAAACCCAAAGCACCTTGTCTGCCTCAAAAAATAACAAATCCTTCATGTGCTGCAGTGAGAAAGCTGTTTATACTCTATAAGCAACAGTGGTTTGCATGTCGTCGTGCAGAACTTGGCAGCACTATATCAATGCAAAGGAGTTTGTGTGCTTCAGCTCACCCAAGTGAATTAATTATTGTTGCTTCCCTTACTCGCAGGAGTGGTGTAGGTTTCAGTTAACAAATGTTTGCAAAGTTCATTAAAACAGTGGTGTGGAAGATCAAACGGAAAGGCAAAGCATTTGTTGAACTGTGAATTTTGAATTGCCTTACATGTATGTGAATCAGTTTTACATTATTTGAACAGAAAGCTTTGTCATTCATATGGCACGACTGTTGCATTGTATAAGATCATCAGGGTAATCCAACCTTATTAAACAGCCCCGTTTAGGTTTTCTAATCTGCCCTAACATGACAGATTTCAGTAGCTCCCACCAGATACAGACATGCTCTGATGTTCTTGGTTCTTTAATGTTAACTTTGCTTACAAATGTATTACAGAAGAAAACTAATGGAGCTCCAAATGGATTTTACGCAGAGATTGACTGGGACCGATATGTAAGTATCCAAATGACTTTCCTTCCTTACGTAATAGACTTGCAGTACTGTGTGATAAGGGAATTTGTATACCTTTGTAGGCTTCAGGTTTATCTCCCTTGTGTAGATGAGACTGTTTTCAGATACCCCAGTCAGTGTTCACACTTCATATTCAGCAGCCTTATTGTCATTTCATTGTCTCCACTTAAGAATGGAGATCTCATGAAGCCTTTACACCCATAGCCAGGTTCAAATGTTACCATGCGGCTCTGTAGGCACTCAGGATAAGTAGAGACCATCAAAAAGCCTGGGGCAGAATTGATCCAACCAGTTCAGATTTCTCTAAGCTGTGTATACTGGACCACTAATGAACAGAACTGATGTTCACTCCGGTTGGGGAACGTAGGCAGAAGCCTGTACTGGCTGAGGCCAGAAATCGGGCGGCACTCCCACATGCCTCCAAGCAGGCCAGGCATTACGGAGGGTAGCCAAATGCAGCTGTATGGCTGCACTATCCCTGATTTGGCTGTCAGGCACACGCCTCCTCTGCTGCCCTGTCATTTGTCATGTGGCTGCAGGCAGCCAGTGGAGGGAGGAGTACTCGACCTCCTCAGCAGCATGGGGGTCTCTGGGCTTTGTCAAGGGTGGGGGCAGGGGTCCACCCGAGGCAGGACAGAAATGGGGTTGGGGGGTGGGGAGTGGGGCTCGCAAGCTGCCTCGGAGAGGTGGTGTCAGTGGTGCACCCTCCATCCCCAGGCAGTAGGACACAGTGTCCCTGCCATGTCCCAGGTCCTGGGAACTCTGTGCTGCAGTGTCTTTGGGAAGGGCTCACAGGATTTTCCCCCTCAGAGCTGCACCAAATTCTGAGCTGAAACAGCCTCTCTGCAGCTGCAGAAACATGTTTGCACCCCTCACCCAGGAACTGGAGTCCCGCATGCACAGGCAAGCGGCTTCAGCCAGGAATTCAGATCTGGTTCTGGGGGAGGGCGGAGGATCCTGTGAGCCCTGACCAGAGTCACTGCAGTGCAGGGTCTCTGCCCCAGGACCCTGCCCTGCAGTAGCTCTGGGAGGGCTCACAGGATTCGTCCCCCCTGCCGCACACACCCAGGAGCCAGCACCAAATTCCTGGCTGAAGCCACTTCTCTGCGGATGTGGGGTCTGGTTCTTTGGGGGCGGAGGGCAGCCATGTCCCTGCAGCTGAAGAGAAGTGACTTCAGCCAGAAATTTGGCACTGTCTCCAAGGGGGCAAAAGCCTGTGAGCCCTTCCAGGAGCCACTGCAGCACAGGGTCCTGGGGTTCGAGACCAGGCAGGGACAATCCGGACCCTGCACTGCAGCAGCTCCAGGAAGGTCTCGCAGGATTTCCCTCCCAGGGTCAGCGCCAAATTCCTGGCTGAAGCTGCTTCTTTGCAGGCGCGGGGCTCCAGTTCCGGAAGATGGGTGGGGTGGACAGTCATGTCCCTGCAGCTGCAGAGAAGCAGGTTCATCCAGGAGTTCAGCATTGGATGGGGGTACTCTGTACCCCACCAGACTCAGGCCAGGAACGTGGGGTGCACAGCTGTCAACCCCTCCCGCAGCAGCTCACGAGCCCTACTTCCTCTTCCTCCTCCCCACTTCTGTCTTGCCTGTTGCTGACAGAGACGGCTCCCTGTGGGGCAGGGGGAGGGGGTTAGGAGGCCTCGCAAAGGTCTCTGGGATATCGGCAGATCATCAACCTACCTTGATTCATGAGCAGACCTGGTACTGACATTCAATAGTCCTGTCCAACCTAACTCAAATAAGTCTGATATACTATATGGATCCAGGTCTATCTTAGACCAGGATCTGCCATTTTGAAACTGGTCTATGCGCCCTGAACTTCAGTTTTGATATGAGTATAGACCAGTTTCCAGTTACCTAAACCAGAAGAAGTGTAATGTCTGCACTTAGCCGCCGTTTTTCTTTCAACAAACATACTTGGAAATGACTGTCATTACTAAACTAAAACAACATTAATAAGACACTGATAGTTTTCAATGTGTGCTTCACTCTGGAAGTTGCCTGTGGCTCTTAAAAATTACAACTGTGATCAGGGATGCACAGACACATGCATACACACACACTCACTTTAGTTTTTGTTTCTTGACTTCGTAAACTAGATGATATTTTATGTATTATCAGTTCTACTGACAATAGGTTCTGTTGTTTGCGTACCATGCAGCAACAGAAGCGAGAGAGACTTCTTCAATAACCAGCAAAAATTGTCATAGAGCACTAATCACTTTTTATGCTGACAGAGCCTCCCTAAGTGGTGAAGTGAGTCCTACTGTCAAAGTAGAACTGGCAATTGTAAGAATGAGATTTTGTGAAAAAAATAATGAATTCAGATATTTTATCACCTTGCAGATGAGTAGTTGAAGCCTATCCTTAATCTGGGATATATTTTATATATGCATGTTAATTGTATTGTATAAAATTGCCTAGAAACTAGTTGGTTTCCATTACTCGTTAAATATAAAATACCTTAAGCAATAAGGAGAGATTTATTTGAGACAGATTTGTACCAGCAGTATGGAAGACATCAAAGCTAACTGGGGGAAAAAAAGTTAATTGTGACTTGAATGTTAAGAACAGAGAAGAAATTTAAAGTTCAAACCCATGGTAAAGGCAGACTCTCCCTCTGCATGAAGAAGGGCGTTTGTTCCCCAGAGCTTGCAAAGAACAATTTTTCCAACGATTTAGTTGATTTAATAAAAGATATCACATTTACACAAAGAACTTTTGTCTCTTAATTATTTTTCCTATCTCCGCCCTTACTTCTGGAAACTCGCTGCACATGCTTGTGCTTGACAGCTCAGCTCTGCACAGTGTATTTGACTGACACTGCCAAAGTTAACCACGCTATCATTTACTGCGTCATGGTATTATAGGTGGTAGCAAGAGCAGTTGCAGCCATATTAGACTTCTTGCAAAGCAAGCGTTCCTTTTTATCTTGCGCTACCTTTCCTGGACTTGGACAAGGCTTAATTTCACCAGTCCTTTGACATCTTTTTTCCCCATGCAAAAAATAGCTCATGCTACTCTTCAGTAAAATGTTTTGCAAAAACCCTAATTACTTTGTTTTTTTACACCCTATTCAGAATTCACCTGAGCTTGATGAAGAGGGATACAGCATCAGACCAGAAGAACCAGGCTATATCCTTTATTGTTAGCCTTGAATCTCAACTTACAAACTGTAAAATGACCTGGGGTTCATGGAAAGGTCACTGAAATGTTTCCCCTATTTTTCTGTGCACCATTATTCCCTAGTTAAAAGCAAAGTCCCAAGGAGAATCACCTGATACAGTTAACCAGAAGGCACTTCTAATTGCCTTCGTCTATTCATATGAAATTAACAGAAAGTAGTAAGCAGATATGGAAGTGCATTGAGAAATAATTATGTTCAGTGCACTCCACTGAAGACAGATGGGATTACAATGCTTACAACAAAGAGCAGCAGATTTCCAGCCTCTTTCTCTGGCTTGGCAGGGCTGCTGAAGCAGAATATTCATTCGCTGGAGGAAGGAAGCAGTTTCCATCTCTATGTAGGACCCAATTTGGCTTTATAAAGAAAGAATGAATAAGGAGGAGTAATTTATGTGCCTAAAGCATGGACTCATGAGTCAGAGGAATTAAGATGAAGTATTTAGAAGGCAGAATCCACATCTCCAGACTCTCACTCCTATTTCCAGCACTGCTACAGAGCCACTTGGGCAAGCCTCTTTAATGTCTGTGACCCCACCCATAAAATACAGCAGTACTGCTGCTTTGTTTAATTTGCACTTGTAAACCATGCTGTGGTTCCCCTAAGAAACGTAACGAAGAAATGTACAAAGCGTTGTGTTATAGGCCTCTGTGAAGTGGCTAGTATTCGCTTCGGATTCGGCTAATTTCAGGGGACGGTAATTTGATTCGGTGATTCAAATAGCTGTCCCGAATCAATTTGGCCGAATCATCTGATTTGGAGATTTAGCTCCAGCCAAAAATCCAAATCTCCAAATCACTCAGACCCATCCCCCATTGGCTCTCCCAGCCCTGGCAATGGCTGCCCGTGGCACTTAAAAAAAAAAAAAAAAGCCCTGACTCACTGGGTACTGCCAGGCAGAGGGTGATTCCCCACTGCCCCATGCTGGCTGCTGCAGGATCCAGTGTTTTTTCAGGTTTTTTTTTTTCCTTAAAGGGCCAGAGCTGGGGTGGGCGGGGCAGCTGCTGGGGGTGGGGCTGGGAGAGCAGGCAGGGGTTGGGAGTCTCATGCAGAGCTCCCCATGCAGAGTGGGGCAGCGAGGGGTAGTGGGGATCACCCACCCTGTGGATAGCACCCAGTGAGTCAGGGCTTTTATTTAAAGCACTGGGAACTGGGGCAGGCATGGAGTGGGGTCTGGAGGAGTAGGCGGGGGTCAGAGGGGACTGGGGATGGGACTAGCAGGGATCCCCCCATGGTCCCCTACCCCTTTCTTCAGCTCCCCCTTCCCCACCCCTACTTGCCTGCTCTGAGCCCAGCTCCAGCTCCCTGCTGCAGGGGGTGGGGACTTCTCGATTCATTGAGGCTCTCCAAATCTTTTCCAAAGATTCAGAGAGTTTTGAATCAATTTGGACCTTATTATTGGTCTCCTGATTCGACTCAGATTTGGAGATTTGGCCACCAAATTGAGCCAAATCACCTCCAAATCGAGTTGGCACCCAAAGGTTTGCACAGCCCTATTGTGTTACCTCAAGCTGTTTTCTTCTAATCTAATAGGCTGTGTCACGGTCCATTCATTTGTTTCATTGGAAATGAGCAGGAGCAGGTAGAAGCACATGATGTGAAAGAAAATCCAAGCAAAGCTTGACTTGGTCTTGTAGTATGCTTGTGCTGGCTGGAGCTCTGCATGTGAGGGGGCTTAAAGGAGATGTCTTTATCCTCCTGCTTCATGCTGGCCACTATCTCTACACTGTATTAGAGCAGCCTGAGGAACTGCCCTTTTATGCCAGGCTTCACCTTGTAGCTGAGTACTGGCACACAGAAGAGATATTCTGGCCAGGCTTTCTTTCCTCCACCTACATCTTTCCCTGCTGAAGAGAAGGTGAGTGGGATAAGAGCCACCAAATTGGCTTTAGTCTACATCATTGGAAGGCATTGTACCTGGGAACGTCCTCTTACTGACTGCGTTCTCAGGGATTCTGCTAACCTTTACAAGTGGAACACACCAATACAGTGACTGCCTACTTGTGCAGAAGAATTGGGCTCTTGCAGTGCATTGCCTTTAGTAGGCCATGTCAGCTGCTATTGAAATATCTTGCCTACATATTAGCATGTACAGTGATAAACTTGTACAATGCTGACTGGAGGAAACAGGAGACATCGTTGTTAATTACTACTGCCCCAAAATGTTGCTTTACCCACCCTTTTGAGCACTCAACAGTTCACATATATAATACATGTGTATATATCTATCTATGCAGAATAACAAAATAGAATAGGAGTGACAGTCTTGGCAAAAATGTGTATCCTCTGTTACCCATGTGTGCCCTCTGTTACCTATCTTTGTAGTTGGACATTTTGGAGTAAAAAATTCAAAAGTACCCAAGTTCCCTTTCCAATAGTGATTTAAGAGCCTAAAGCTCATTGAAAATCAATGGAATGTAGGCCACATCTAGATTATAGACATACCATTGAGAGTCTATAACAATTAACCTTCCCTTGGCACTGCACAGACTACACAATTTCCAGTGTAAGAGGTAACATGCACAGAGCTGCATGGCATTTTTGGGGATGCTGCTGCTGAGCACATTTGCAGTCTAGATATGGCCTTGGGTTCTGCCCTAAGCATAAATGTAATTTTTAAAAATAGGACTTATGGCTTCCTTCTTTAGGAGCATAAAGAACACTGTTTCCACTATGTCCAAAATAGCTTACCTCTCAGCAGAACAAAACGTTCTTTAACTGTGATCTACCTACCAAAGGAAAGCACTTTTATTCCTCAAGTGAATCAGAAGAGGAAGAGGAGGCACATAAGAAGTTTAACATTAAGATTAAGCCTTTGCAGGCGAAAGACATTCTTAAAAGCGCAGCAAACGTAGATGAGCTGAAAGCATCAATAGGCAACATCGCACTTTCTCCATCTCCAGTGGTGAGTGTTTGGTGTTTCAATCTTTCACTAAATTGCAAGTACAGATTCTATCTTAGTTTATTGTATTCAGTAGTGAGCAAAGATATTTATTGGGTCAAACTGATTCATGGTTAAATACCATTTTTATGCCCATAGTCTTGTTTATGTGACATTTCTTTGCCTAGCCACAGAGCAGTCACAAGTAACTCTAAGAAATGTCATGCTTTTTAGTATATAACAGAGATTCTCGTAACCATTTCTGAACTATTCTAATTTACTTGCTCTGTGCATTGACCTTATTTTAATGAGCTTCCCACATCTCTAATCAACCAAAAAAGTAACATGCATACTTTTTTTTAAATGAAGAGGAAATAGCTACAATTGCAGTATGATCTGGACAGTTCAAACTCCAGCTATCCCCAGTATTCAAAAGAGGTTTACGTTCTTCTGCTATCTGTTAATTATACTGAAATTTACCTTGGGCATCAAAACTTACTTCAGACCAGATCCTGCCATTCTTCCTCACTATTTGTAATACTGTTTTAACTTTTAAAAAAATCAGTGGAGCAATTTATGTAAACAGATACTATTCAGAATGACTATGGATGAGAGAACTGGGCTTATGCAAGCCTTGTAAAGCTTGGGTAGTTGAGATTTGTGCTATAACAGTAAGAAATAGCACAGGTTTGTTTCACCTCTTCCATTAGATGAAATCAGGAGATTCACTGAACTGGCTACTACTGCAACATATAAAAATGGGGACAGTGAGATCAGAACTGGGCCTCAAACATTTCCCTAGTTTTCCCTATTGTGCTTTCTTATAATTTAATTTTTTTTTTTTTGTGCTGCACATAAATCAGAGCTGCCTCTTGTTTTGGGCGATTACCTTTCCTGAACTGAGACAATACAGTGTTACCTGTGCATTCCTTAATGAAGGATTAATCTAGATATCTAAAAGGAAGAACAGTCTCTCCTTAAATTCATCTTTATTTTTGTTCTGTTAGCCATTCAACTCTTTCAGGGCTTGCCAAAACCCCTATTTTGTCATCCAACTCCATTTGGCTGTACAAAGCTCCATAGTTTCTCCTCTTGCATGGCTTTGATTTGCGCATGGTTTCATAACTCTTGTATCTTGCTTCAAGTTTGGAGTGAAATGAACTGCAACTGCTGGGTTTTTTTCCTTTTTTTTTCAAGTCAATGCAATATTTTGAAGGTATAGGCTTCTAAATGAAGTCACTGATTTTTCCTAGAAGTAGACTTCCCTAAAATCCACCTGAGCGTTAGTGTCAAGAAAAAATCCAGACTTTGGTGGTGCTCTGCCTGGCATCAGGTTTTACCATGATCCTTGTCCCAGCTAGTGACTTGTACATGTGTTGCTCGCTGCAACCAGAGTAGTTCCTGAAGTTTTTCAGTCACGGCTCAGAGCCCATATTAAATCCATATGATTATGCAGTTTCAATCCAGCCCAGCTTGTTCTGGAATCTCTTTGCTATGTCAAAGCCACAGCAATCCAATGCGTATACATGGGGTGGGATATTGGTTTGCCTATAGAGGGAAAATATTGGGACATTTAACTGTTTCTCCATTTTATTTTTGTAAGTGTACTGAAGAGATCAATAGGTTTTCTCAGTATTGGTTTGTTCTGCTTCTGGGATAAAATATTTGTTCTCATCTGAAGGTAGCAAACAGATGACAAAAAGCAGGTCACCTGTATAAAATTTAAAGTCTCTCTATAAAATCGAGCATTTAGACCCCCACTCAAAGGTCCTTGACCCTTTCTAATCACTCTCACGTATCCATAATTCATGAGGTGGCAGATGTGCACTGCCAGCCTATTTAGTAATTCTGTACGTTTAGATATGTAATTGCCCAAAAGCTTTTTGAATTTCGGACTGATGTTATGATGGAGAAGGTAAAGGAGCATTAACTACTGGTATATCTGATGTATCTTTTTGCAAGTAAATGAGTATTCATTAAAAGATTATCCAAAAATTAGGTAGGTTCCTAGCAATCACATTTTTCTCATTGCTACCCCTCGTTTTGACAGAAAACTAGCGTGAAGCAACAAGGCAAGGTTTTAGGCTCATGTGCCCATTTGCTTTCCTGTGCCTTGTGTTCCTGAAGTTGAAATGTGAATGGATAATATTCATTGCACAGAGTGTGTTCTCTCAGTACACTGCGAGAGAGACCTGTTCTCACTGTGAAATTAAATGAGTGTCTGGTTCCTGGTTTCCATGATCCTCTTCCCATTGAAGTCAATGGGAGGTTTTGCCTTTGACTGAGAGGGAGCAGGATTTAGCCCCATTGTGAACACATTCATGTTTGTTAATTGGCTACCTCGTGAAGTCCTTCCTTTTGACAGCAGCATGTTGGAACTGGGTCTGTGGTTTATCTTTGTCTTGTGAGCTGACTTGCGCAGTTGTTATGAAATAGTAAAGATACTGCAGCTGGCCTGGAGGCAGGACAGCAGAGTATTATGTCTCTGTGTGCGGAAGCTAAGTTCAAGAGTCAATGTAGGACTCTCATTTCCTGGGTTGTGGGAGATGCGGAGACTGTAAATCGTGCAGAATGATGGCTTTGTTGTTCTGTGGAGAATGCGGCTTCCTGATTCATTGATACTGTCTCTGAAGCAAGTGAGACTTAGTGCAAGTTGCCGTAATGCTGATCACAGAAAGGAAAGGTATGAACTATGAAATGGAAAGAAAATAAGGCAGAAGGGGAGATACAAAGATAATAAAATCCAGATCTTCAGCAGTTGTAAATCAGCATGCCTCCATTCACTACTGTGAAGTTACACTAGTTTAGATCAGCTAAATATCTGAACTAAAACATCTACATGTAATTAATACACTATATGCGCTCTGTGTAGAGCGAGGTATTTGTCTTTGAGAGAGTTAGGATAAAGACACTGGCTCAAGACTTGGGCACTCCCAAAATGGATATAGTGGAAGCCAAGAAGTAATGTAGAAAGCTAGCATGAAGTGGACAGCTACACTGCTGTGAATCATAGATTTCATAGACATTTGAGCTGGAAGGGACCCCGGAGGATCATCGAGTCCAGCCCCCTGCTCCAGGGGCAGGAAGTCAGCAGGGATCATAGGATCCCAGCAAGATAAGCATCCAAATGTGTCTTGAAGGCATTCAAAGTGGGTGCTTGAACTGCCTCCAGTGGCAGTCTATTCCAAAACTTGGGGACTCGGACGGTGAAGAAGTTCTTCCTTATGTACAGCCTGAATAGGTCGTGGTGGAGTTTGTGACCGTTCAATCTTGTCATCCCTTGGGGCACTCTGGTGAACAAACGTTCCCCCAGATCCTGGTGAGCTCCCGGATAAACTTATAGGTGGCCATCAGATCACCCCTGAGCCTGCGCTTTTCTAGGCTGAAGAGCCCCATGGCTCTCAGCCTCTCATCATAAGGTCTGTTTTCCTGACCTCTGATCATGCACGTGGCTCTCCTCTGCACCCTCTTGAGCTTCTCCACATCCTTTTTGAATTGGGGAGCCCAAAACTGGATGCAGTACTCCAGCTGCAGCCTCACCAAGGCCGAGTACAATGGGAAAATGACGTCCTGGGATCTGCTTGAGAAACATTTAGGGATGCAAGCCAGCATTTTGCTTGCTTTACTAGCCCCAGCATCACACTGAAGGCTCATGTTCATCTTGTGGTCAACGATGACCCCCAAGTCCCTTTCATCTGTAGAGCTAACCAACGTAGCACTACTGAGCCTATATGCGTGGTGCAGGTTTTTCTTCCCAAGGTAGAGAACCTTGCATTTTTCAGTGTTGAACATCATCAGGTTCTCATCTGCCCATTTTATGAGTCTGTCCAGATACGCCTGGATCACCCTCCTGTCCTCAGGTGTGGATGGTTTACCCCAGAGTTTGGTGTCGTTGGCAAACTTGGCCAGTCCACTTCTGACACCAATGTCCACATCATTGATGAAGATGTTAAATAGTATAGGCCCTAGGACAAAGCCTTGAGGGACCCCACTGGTCACAGCACACCACGA